GCAGTGACCCCTCTAACTCCCTGTGTTCTCTCCTCAGCCTTTGCACACAGTCTACTCCACCAGGAATGCCCTCCCTGCCTTCACCTTCTTCACCAGACTAACTCCCGGTATTATTTCCCAAAATTTCATTAATGTATTAATGTTATCATTTGCTCAAACATGTACAAATCTCTTAAATGCTTCAGACAAAACATTTCCACCAAGTAACAATGAGTGATGCAACAACTGACAAGTCCAGATTGAGTAGTAAAGACAGTTGGACGAATGATCTGAAGTTACTTATGTAATTTCTTTCCCTCCTCAAAATACGAGATATTTCAGGGATTTTCTGGGCATTGTGCCTGCAGAACTGGGCCAGGGTACAAGGGCAGCAATGTTCTCACTCCTGTGGTTCTGTGAGCTCATCACCTACGCATTACAAAAATATTTAATTTACAGTAAACAAAACCAATTTCACAGAGAAGCTAACAGTTAAGGATCTTCCCCACACAGAAGGTCAATAGTTTAGCCTCTAAATGATCTGAGTTGTATTTCATTTTCTAACAGCAGAAATTGTACCTGTACTTTACTTTTAAAAAAAAAAGAAGAAAAGAAGCCTATTTTTTTCTAGGCAAGAAGGCAGATATAGGTTAAGTCACAACTTCTAATGCAGCTTCACAGCCTCGTTTAGCAGATAAGAACTTATACATGACCTTTAGTTCTTCCCTTCTAAAAGGCTGGCATCCTTCTCAAGCCTCCTGCTTCTGGAAAGCGCAGAGAGTTAAGCTGCGGCCACCCATTTTGAAGTATAGAACAGGAGCAGAGTAAGCACTTTCCTTCAACAATACACATTTCTCTCCAAGTTCCTAGACAGAAGCTCTGGGCTTTATGAAGAAGCACACTACAAGGACTCTACAGCTGGAGACCTGGGGAGCGGTGCTTCCTACAGTGTCTCCCTCTGCTCCTCTTACAACAGAACAGCTCTGTGACCTTCACCCAGCCATTATGAAAGGGGAAATGTATGAAAAGGCAACAATACCATACTTATAACTACCATTAAAACTCGGTGCCCTCAGCCAAGACATCCTCTAAGATGTGAGGGATGGAATGGGTTCATCTCATGCCCACCAAGGCTGTGTCCATTGTATTACGCTGCCATGTACCACAGCACCATGTTCTCTTCGTTATCTGGACATGGCAAAGTGGCATCTGCCAGGATTTGGGTCTGTGAGATGATGCCTAACAATGTAGATCCTTACTGGAATGCTGAATTCACTAAACTTTGCCCTGTAAAGTTTCAAAGCCAACCTAGCTAGATCCCTAGTAGAGTGTACAGCACACTAATGAAAAATGCCTACCATTGGGCAGCCAGGACTGTGATTCAGATTCAGCTATTGTTTACTAGTTGAGTAACTTTGGGCAAGTCACTAAGCCACTCTTCTAAGCTCTTAAAAACACCTTATAAGACTCTGCAAGTATTCACCTGACCTGGCTCTTGCTGACCTCTCAGATTACTACTTGCACTACCACCTTCTCCCTCTTTAACTACCTGGACTCTGAGCTCATTCCCACCCCAGGGCCTTTGCGCTTGCTGTCCTCCCTACCTAATAATACACTCTTCCCCAGAGTTTCCCCTGCTGGCTACTTTTCATTCCTCAGGTCTCAGCTCAAATATCAAAAAGTCACCTCCAGGATCTCATAAACATAATGTTGAGTTCTATGGGTGTGTGTCATATAATTTCATTCACATAAAGTACAAAGAGGAAAACCAGTGCATGACTGGTGTAAGTCAGGGGATGGGTTACCCTTTTCCGGGGGAAGGCAATGTAAGTTAGGAGCACCAGAGGGCTCCCTGGGTTACTGCTAAATGATTATTTTCTTGATCTGGATTTGGTTACCTGGGCATGTTCAGTTTGTGAACTCATCAAGCTGTGTGCTTATAATATACACATTTTTAGTATGTGTGTTATATTCAATAAAAAATTAAACCAAACAACAAAAACTACCTTGTTAAATCAGTTTTCCTTAATCTTCTAATCTATACCACTCTGCTGGCTAAACTACTTCATTTGAGATCCTGAGACCCTGCTTTGTTTTCTTCATAGCATCTATCACTGGCTGAAATCATCTTCACTATTGTTTTTGTACACATGTGTACATTATGTACATGCTAGCCCTTCCTCAGTTCCATTAAAGTGTCATGTGGCCAAGGGTCAAAGAGTCTTGCCTACCTTGTTCCCAACTTCCAAATCTCAGGGCTGGGAACAGTCCTATTCTAGCTATCAGCCAAATACAATAATATATGTAAAATAAAAAATGGCTAAAGGGGGCTCTTTAAGGATATAAAAGCAATGAAAAAATCAAAAGAGTGAATCCAAGAACACAGGAAATAAAAAATTTCAGCCCTGGCAGTTGTGGCTCAGTGGACTGAATGTCAGCCTGTGAACCAAAGGGTTGCTGGTTCAATTACCAGTCAGGGCACATGCCTGGGTTGCAGGCCAGCTCCCCAGTAGGGGGCACATGAGAGGCAACCACACATCGATGATTCCCCCTTTCTCCCTCCCTTCCCCTCTCTCTAAATAAAATCTTTTTTAAAAATCTCAATGGCATTAAGCATTAGGAATGTGTCAAATGCTAAATTTCACTACAGGGAGGGGGTAGAGTGTCACTCTATGGACACCTTCCTGAGAGTGGTTAAAGTTACTTCTCAAAGTAGACACTGAGTCTTTTATGTCTGTATGCCTAACAGTTTTACACTAGGCCTGGTACAAAACAGGTCTGAGCTAAGAATGACAACAGATTTCTGTGACACTTGGTGAGGATTCTTAAGTTTTGTGAGAAAAGTGGGTGACGTTCAATCGTAACATATGCCACAGGCAAGGGAATGCATAGGTGCGTGTCCAAGCAGATTTAGGGGAAGCATTCAAGAATTTGAAGAGTTCCTTAAAGTCAGGAGCAATACTCACCCATTTTTTTGCAAATTCCAAGACATTTTTATAAAGAAAAAAGTAAAACTGTATAGCAGTGTTGGTGACTTTAAAGATGTAATATAGTGTCTAGTGGTATGTGCACTAATGTACATGAATGCATAATGCATTTCATGAGCAAAACTACACTCACAAAGCAACAGCCTGGTATAAGGGAAACTTAAAAGTAAGCCTTTATTCTGCAATCAGCTCTGTCATAAACTTTTTCTATAACCTTGAACAAGTCACTGAACTTCTTTAGGCCTCCATTTTTCTACCTGTGAAATGCACTGATTGGGCTAGATGCTCACTAATGCCCGTTTTCTGGTTCTTGGACAATTCTGGCTTTAAAAAATTATTCTCATCTTCTAAGCCTTCTGTTTAGAAGATAATAAATCATTCATAAGTATGCAAATTAAGTTTACCAAATGCAGTTGGTCAAACAAGGGTATCTCTCCACAATCAGATTCTCTAAAGGATTGTGTTCAAACTCCCATTTCTTGGTTAGGCAAGCAAGAAGTCCTGCAGTTCAGCTAAACACCTATGTTTCTCTGTACAATTATTTCCTTTGCTTGAGTGTTCATGCCCTAGGCCCCATATTTCTCATCAATGCAAGTCCACACTCACAGTTCCACAGTTCCAACTTTTTGTCACACCTAAATAATGAGTAAGGCTTGATCACCTGGAAATATCCTCCTTACTCTATTACAACAATTAGTGATTTTATTTAGACAAAACCACCATTTCTTTTGCTATCCCACCATACTGTCAAGTGCCTATTAAAGATATTACAGTAATAAGTATTAACACCTTTTAAATTTATATTAACAAAAAGAGAGAAGTGAAGAGTCAGGAAATGAAAAGAGAAAAAAAAACCTCACAGATGTCAAAATTAGCCAAAGTTTAGAGTAACTCAAAATCGTTAGTAACTATCTCTAAGTGTTCTTAAAAACTATATATATTGTGGTTAAAATTGCATAGGTGATAACTTGCTTCTCACCAATCAGAAATGGGAAAATGGACAAATATGCTGCACTGCTGTGGCCGAGCCCCACACTGTCCTTTCTTAAAAAGGGAAGAGAGATTATCTATGGCACAGGTGGCAAATACAAGGCCCACTGGCCAAATCTGGCCCTCCACCTTGTTTTATCTGGCCCGGCACCTTGTTTCTACCCAGCAGCCAGCTCTGAGCTCTCACTTATCTGTTAAGGAGTAGTTACATTTATACAGTCCTAAAATTACACTCGGCCCTTTGAAGGCAACCATGAAGCTGTTGTGGCCCCTGGTGAAAATGAGTTTGACACCCTTGATCTATGGGCATCTATGGGCAATAAAAAGTCAAATAGTTGAGTGATTTCTCCAAGAGCCATTACCAACTCCTAACTCCACGAAGGCCTTCTGACTCTTGCCATCCCCCAAAAGTAAAACTCTACTGGAGGCCAAGTTCCAACAACAGATAATTCAGCATCCACCCGTGGCCCTCTTGGGGTTTTACTCCCTATAAACAAGGAGAAAGTGGATATGGCCAATACTCTGATGTGTTTTAGTGACGAGACTGGTTTTCACTGAAAGGCGGGAGAGGGGAGAGCACTCCCCTAGCTCGCCGACTGCAGGTCTGCAAAAGCAGGTAGGCTATAGAAAAGTCAGGCGGAGACGGGTTTCCAGGCAAGTTTACACATGGCTTAATAAAAGCGCTCAGAAGTAGAGACGTTTCAAAATCTTAACTGTAAAGCGAGTAAAAACCTCGGGACTCCAAAATGCAATGGGAGAAACTTCCTCAACTTGCACGCTGCGCCCATACCGCGCCTTCCGTGAGAGCTCGGGGACTGACGCTGGGGTGGCTGACACCTGAGTGGCTCCTAGTCTGGGGCAGTGACCTGTCGCCCCCCTCATCCCTTGGGCCCACGCCAGAGCGGAGGGTGCAAGGTTCTTCGGGGCGCCCGCGCAGCACCGCGCTGCCGCACACCAGGGCAGAAACAGGACGGGGAGACAAGAGGGCCAGGCAAGCGGGCGCCCCACCAGTGCTCTGCGTGCACCCCCTGCCGGCCCGCTCACCTGCGACCTGACAGCTAGAAGCCGGGGCCGTGGCGCCAAGACTCGCAGAACCGACTGGGCCTGCGCTGCCGCCGGGGACGCCATCTTAGACCGGATCGCCCGCGCGGGTATTGAACGGTGCGAGGTGCCGGTGGGGGAAGTGGAAGGAGGCGGCCCTGGCCGTCCGCCTCCACTAAGCTCCTCCCCTCCCACGTGCCCGCGCCCTGGGTGCAGACACGTCCCTGGGCAGCACCTGGTTCTGGGGCCAGCTGGTGGATCGATCAGGCAAGCCCTCCCTCAGTCCCTCAGTCCCCCAGCCCTGGCTCCAAGTTCCCAAGTCCACTTTTAGCTTTCAGAGGAGGGGTGTCTTTGTCACTGTGCCACCAGGAATGTGCTTGTGAACGAAAGACGATCCCGAGTCCTGTGGTCATGGGGATTCAACTGACCAACAGACAAACAACTATTACTCCTTGTAGTGAGGGATGGAGGGAGGGGCCTGGGCTGACCTCTTCAACCAAGTAACCTCCCGTCTGTTCCTGGGTCACGGAGGCTAGTCTGGAGTATGGGGACTTTTGAGCTGAGACTTGAAGTAATAGGGGAGAAGCAAATGGGTCTGGTGAAGTTGGGGGGAACCCTTCAGCCCTTCAGGGGTGTCCAACCTTTTGGGCCACACTGAAGACTTGTCCTGGGCTACACATTGAATACATTTCAATATGTAGTCACACACACACACACACACACACACACACACAAACATGTTTTAAGTAAATTTGTGATTTTATGTTGCACTGCATTCACAGCCATCCTGAGCTGCATGCAGCCAGCCAGCTGCAGGTTGGGCACCCCTGCTTACATCTTAGTAAGATTTTGTTTTAATGCAAGTATTAATTTAACGGAGTATTAATGCAAAACTATTGAAGGATTTATAGCCCTGTCATAACCATAACAACATTTGCAGGCTGCCAACTCTAAACACCAGGCATGCAATAAAAATTACTATGTCCCTGGCCAAGTAGCTACTTGGCTTGAGTGTCTTCCTGATAGCCACGGTTACAGGAGGTCAGGGTACATACATGAATCAACCAATGAATGCATAAATAAGAGGAACAAGAAATTGATGTCTACTTCTCTCCTTCTCTCTCTCTTTCTCTTTCCCCCTTCCCTCCCTCCCTTTCTCTTTCTCTCCCTCTCTCAAATCAATTTTTAAAATAACAAAGTAAAACGAACTAGCAAATATGCTTAATGCATGCCAAAAACTTTACAAATATGGGCGAATTTAGTCTCCATAGCAATATTTTCCAGTAGGTAGAAGTGTAAAATCCACATTTTGCAGAAAAGGAAACTGAGGCACACTGAGATTAAGGAACTTGCTCCTGGTCACAGATCTGATAACAAGTGGAAATGGGATTCAAACCCATTCTCTCTCTTGTCCCCACTTCATTAAGTACTATTTTAGATTTTTTAAAAAAACTTACTTGTTCTGGAGCTTGTTATCATGGGGGGAAATGGTACAATGTAGCAGAACTGGGCAACTATTGCTGCTAATTTCCTTCTTTCTTTCCCTCCCTCCTTTTTTAAATTTTAATTTTGACAAATCAAATATGTAGAAAAGTTCTAAGAATACTACCCCCAAATTCACAAATATCCTTTACCCAGATTCACCATGTATATTTTGCCATTTGCTAGTCTTGATAAAGATATATAGATTTATAGTCCATTCCTCATTTCATTACAATTTTATCTGCTAGTTTTAGCATCTGTTAGTAATTATTGCTTGAGTCCATTATTACTCTGATGGTTGCAAAATGGCGATTATTTAGTTCTATCTTTTTCTACATATTTTAGTTTAGATTCTACTCTGAGAAGAGCTTTACCTTCCCCCACATTTCTTTATTTATTCTAGTATTCATTTGTATCAGTATGGACTCATGGATTTCTTTTTATGCTGTGCCAAACCTATGCTCTTTGCTATTGCCTACACATCCTATTGATGTTTCTGGATATGGGTCATTTAATCCTCACAGAAACCCTTCAGCTGTGTCCTACTGTTATTCCTACTTTGTCAGAGAGAGAACTGGACCACAGAGAGACTATGTAACTTGCGCAGGGTCACATAGCTTGGAGTCAGACCCCAAAGCTAGAATATAACCACTTCAGTCCATACCCTCCCCTTGACATGAGTAAATCTGAGTTCCGTCGTCCATCATCACTTCTTCTGGAGTTGCCATCTAATAAGACGGAGCAGAGACTCATTAATGTTTGTATACTGAATGTTTAAACTTGGTGAGTGTTTTGAGCATGTCATCAAGAAGCAGATCACCTGTAGAATTCATCAAAGCTGTATACTCAGAAGTTACCATGGTAAGGAAGTCAGTCTTCCAGCAAAGACTAGAAGGGATCTGAAAGAAGAGTGGAGGAGTGCATTTCATGAAAAGAAAGGCGAGATTTATGACATTCTTTGGTTCAGTGTTCTAGGATGACGTTTTTCTATTAGAGGATGATTTTGGGAAGTGGCATATTGAGAGGCTTTCCAATTGCCATTCAGGTACATTTGGTAGTCTTTAATTGGTTTACTACTTATTAGTACATAACTGGGGACTTTCCGGACTGAGTAGCATTGTATGAGTTTTTCTGTTTCAGTTTGTCCTCAGGCTTGGGGCCCAAGTCTTGTGTCACCAGTTCCTCAATGTCTTCACTGTCCACATTCTCTCATTCTGCCTTCTCTGTAGCCAAGAGACTAGGATGATGGAGCAGAAAGACATTTGTATGCTATCTCCAGTGCCTCATACTTGGCCAGACTACAGGAAATGTGCAGTAACACAGGTAGGATAAGTCCCACTTACTGAGCTGCTCCAAAGAATTTTTCCTATTTTCTGAGCATTTTTTTCCAAACAGGAAGCTCTTAGAGGTCAGAGGTTCCACTACAGAGTTCTGCACTTTGCTTTACTGAGACAGGCACTGGGTTTTTGGTTAAATAGGATTGGATTCAAAAGCTACGTCTATCCCTTATAAACTTGTAGCCTGGGGAAGTACCTACTTCATAAGGTAATAGTAAATATTCAAGGAGATATTGTATGTAAGAACCTTGTGCCTAGTAGGGGTTTAACAAATGTTGTTTTTCTTCAGCTAACAGGTTCTTAATAATATTTGTTTGATAGCTAATGTGAAACACCAGAGCCACTCTGAGATGTGAGTTGTAAGGGCCCAGACACTTTGTAAGTTATCTTAATAGCACTGGTGAATTCTGGAAATGAGTAAATACCAGATGAAAGTATTAAAAGTGTTTGAAGTGGTTGCTTCCAGGAAGCTGGTAGAGGATGATGGTTAGGAAGCCTGATTTTTATTAAAGTATAATAGGCATACAATAGTAGTTTCATGTGTATAGCATAGTGACTTGACATTTATATGTATGATGAAATGATCTCTACGGTAAGTGTAGTTACCATCTGTCCCTATGCAGAGTTAGTACAATATTACTGTATTCTTCAAGCAATACATTACATACCCATGACTTACTTATTTTATAATTGGAAGTGTGTACCTCTTGACCCTTTTACCCATTTTTGCCTCAATCTCACCATTACTCCTCCCCTCTGATAACTACCAATCTGTTCTCTGTATCTATGAGTATAAGTTATGTTTTGTTTGTTTGTTTTGTTTTGTTTTAAATTCTACATGTGACTGAAAAAAGTCAGATAGGGAAAGACAAATACCATGGTCCTCACAGAAACCCTTCAGCTGTGTCCTACTGTTATTCCTACTTTGTCAGAGAGAGAACTGGACCACAGAGATTGTACGGGATGATTTGTCTTTCCCTATCTGACTTTTTTCAGTTAGCATAATACTCACTGGGTCCATCCAGGTTGTTGCAAATAGCAATATTATTTATTTTTTCAGGGCCAAGTAATGTTTCACTGTAAATATACATATGACATTTTCTTTATCCATTCATCAATTGATGTATGTTTGCATTGTTTCCATATCTTGGCTGTTGTAAATAATGCTGCATTGTACATAGAGTTGCGCATAGCTTTTCCAGAAGTAGAATTGATGTATCATATGCTACTTCTATTTTTTATTTTTTGAAGAACTTCCATACTGTTCTTCATAGAGGTTACACCAATTTACATCTCCCCAATTGTACATGAGGGTGCCCCTTTTATTTACATCCTCACAAACACTACTTGTTTCTTGTCTTTTTTGATAACAGCCATTTTAACAGGTATGAGGTGATTTTGATTTTCATTTTCCTGATAAGTAGTGATGTTGAGCATATTTCTGTGTGTCTGTTGGCCATGCAAATGTTTTCTTTGGGAAAATGTCTATTCAGATTATCTGCCCATTTAAAAATTAGATTGTTTATTATTTTGTTATTGAGTTGTATGAATTCTTTATGTAGTTTGTATAGTAATCTTTTATTTGATAAATGATTTGCAAATATCTCTTCCAATTCTTAGGATTTCTTTTGTTTTGTTGCTAATTTTGTTCACTGTGCAGAGCTTTTTGGGGGTTTGATGTAGTCCTATTTGTTTATTTTTACTTATGTTGATTTCGCCACTGGAGTCTTGTCCAAAAAAAATCACTAGAAATAATGTCTAGAAACATACTGCCTATATTTTCTTCTAAGAGTTTTATGATTTCAGGTCTTATATTCAAATCTTTAATACACTTTGAGTTAATTTTTATATTGGTATATGACAGTAATCCAGTTTTATTCTTTTCCGTGTGTCTGTCCAATTTTCCCAGCAGCATTTATTGAAAAGATTGTCCTTCTCTTATTGTATATCTTTGTCTCCTTTATCATAAATTAATTGACTATATGTGTGTTTTTATTTCTGGGCTCTCTTCTGTTCCATTGATTTCTGTTTCTCTTTTTATTCCAATACCATACTGTTTTGTTTAATGTAGATTTGTAGTATAGTTTGGAACCAAGGGATGTGGTGCCCCCAGCCTTGTTTTTTTTTTCTCAAGATTGCTTTGACCATTATATTTCTAGAGCTTTAAAAATGCAGATTCCCTAGACTCCAATATAGACCTACTGAATCAAAGTCACTTACCATGGGGTCTAGGATCTGCATATTAAAAAATCTCCAACATTTTCTTAGTTTAAAAGCTAAAAAAGCAAACAAACTAAGCCACAGAGAGGCCAACTCTCAAGAATTTTTTTGGTA